TGCATCAGGCCGAGTACGAGCTGCTGCGAATTGCGCATCTGGAGGTGCCAGCCTATGGGATCTACTACTATGAGGTGAAGGACATGTTTGATCGTCGTCTCCTCATTGGTGTGGGCCCGGAGTTTGTGGCAGTCTGTGCCACGGATACGTCTTTCATTGAAAAGTGAGTCAATGGCCTCCATTAGATTAAAAAAATTGCACCTTACTGCCGAGCAGAAGCTTCTCCCCACAGTCTGAAAAGTCTTCAAGTTGGAGGGAGGAGTAACTCTTACTCAACTCTTATTTACCTCGCCATTCTCCTAACTGGAAATCGAGTTTTATTCACTTGTCTTAAGTCGGATTTCCAAGATTGCTGCTAGCTTGCACTTTCGATAAGACTGAAATATAAGTATATAGGTAAAGAATAAGGTCTTTCGAACAGCGAAATAGTTCTTTCATTGTCCTGAGCTTTCAAACTCTTACAGGACTTCATCGTCAGACGTAGGAAACAGCAACAAAAAGGGGGTACTTATAGCGGGGTACACATTACTCAAATCTCAGTGACGCACATCTGAACGTGACTGCACAGGTCTCTGTACTCCGGCGCCAAATCGATATATCGATTGATTGGGTTTCCATCCTTGGACGAGGCTTCAGCCTATCGTCGGCTCGTTTTGTTTCCGGCGTGGACGGGTGTCTTGACGGGTGCATAGTTAAACTCATGGTCCATTTCGTAGGTGTAATCGACAACTTACGATAATTCGTCCCTCCGTTCATGTATGCGCGATCCGAGCATGCGTTCAGGTTGATCTGCGTAATTGCGAGGACAGCTTAGGCGGGAGATTCGATACACTACCACAGATTGCTCATTGAGATTAAGCCGGTCTAGGCAAACTTTTTTCTCTACCTATGCAAATACCTGGAAGTGGAACTTGCTCATTAATATAAGTACCTCTTCGTGTCTTCCCTGAAATCCATACTTACCTGGTTGCTAATTGCACTCGGCAGGGAGGCGTCTGCATTTGACTGTCAGCCTCGGAAATCTTATCTTTTATTGCCTTGGACCACAGTTGTTCAGCCAACATTTGGTCATCTACTTCGAAACTGATACATTTGAAATGTTGCTCGCCTTACTTATTTGCTTCGAGGTAGCGTACGCTATCAGGTCGCAGGATAATAAAACGCGGCCCCGGAAATAA